TCATTTTTTATAAGTTTAATCAAATTGCTCTAATCTTTAATTATTGTCTTTAAAATAGGATGATACTGAATACCATAAAGCACATCAAACATAGTTATTATTAATAATATTTAGAAATGTATTATAATTACTATACAACATTTACGGATATTAATTTTTACAATTACTTCAACTTCATTAAGATACCATAGATAAATATTTTTGTGGATTTTAGAGTGGACTGGATTTTGTCATAGGAAGGATATACTTTATAATAAAACTAGCTTATCAACAATTAGTGAATTTCTTGGGGCTAAGCGATTTTGTAGGTTTGTGACTAGGTGCAATTCCTACTAGAGTCACATTATATATCAAAATTGTACAATGGTAACGACATGATAGGATAAAGGCCCATAAATCTCCTAATTTGGTTACTAATGCCGAAATTCCTGACCCGAAAGAAACACTGGACATGATGCTTAAATAAAAACTAGAAGAAGGGTCGAATAAAGATGAATTTTATGGACTGTTCCAATGAAAATATCATTAATCGACTCCTTTGTCTAGTCATTAACTTAACATCATGTCTAGAGTTCCATTAGGGGTCGTTTACTTATGACGTCCATCAAAAAACCTGATTTTTAGACCCCCCCCCTCCTCTATCGCAAAAATTCAATAGAAAATAATTTTCATTGTTTGAACTGTCACAAAATCCTAGCCCCCCCTCCCCCCCTAAATGTCGGACGTCATAAGTGAACGGCCCCTTACTAGAATAAAGAACTTACCTTACTAAAACATGTAAGTGAGTTGCAAAGAAGCGGTTTGATCTTACAGAATACAATAGGAAGCACTGCGATCTATTGTACCAGCAAGATCCTAGCTCAATTACTAGTAAGTAGCAAAAACGATTAACATGCAAAAGCCCTAAGAGATTCAGACCTCATACCTAACAAGAGTAAACTTTAAGGATCTCTAAGATGTGTTTAAAACTGAGTTTAATGACTAAAAATCAAATGCAAATGATACCTCATTTTTTTTAATAATTATAGTTTTAAGTTTGCAACTTTATTTAAAATATCAAAACTAGGTTCAATTTTTCGATGATTCTAGATTATTTCAATATTAAAAGCTAAGCATAAATTTCATTGCTCAAAATAAGTTTTTCTTAAAAATCCTCTCCACTTTCAAGTCCATCCAAAATAAAACAGAAATGAGATACCTAAGACATCACAATAGACACAAAAGAAAGATTGTGAAACTACATAAGCATTTAAGCGATGAAAAGTTTAGCGACTTAACAATTCTTTTTCGAAATACCTCTTGATATATTAATTAATAGATTAATATTTTTAATGTTTATACTGGTTTATACAAGCAAGCATATTTAAGTAGTCATTATTTTTTAACAGAAAAAAAAGTGAGTAATAAGCAGACCTCCGTTTTGCATTTATTGTTTAATTATTAATTTTTACGAGCAATTTTTCTTCTTCTTTAAAATGGTTCAGGGATTTCTTGACATAAATAGATATGAAAATAGAGGATAGTAATTACATGCAAGCCAACAAAACAGCATCTAAGATTAATTCAAGGTAGCTTTTTCAAGAATATTTACTTATATTTCAATTTCTTCACAATTCAGTTTAATATTTTTTCATTTTTTTTGAATTTCAACGGACTTTTGGCATTTGAATAGAAATTGAAGAAGCAGAAAGTGATGCGATTTTTTGCATCTCTATTCGGTAAAATTTGAACTTTTGCTTCAATTTTGCATCTTTTAATGAGCTTTTGCATCACTTTTTGCATCAATAAACTTTCAAATCCTCCAAAAACCGTTAAAATTTATCCAATTTTTTTTGAAAATATTTTTTTTTGTATACGGGATTCAAACAAGAAAAAAAATCTATTTAATACGTGAAATTTATAATAAATACTAGTCATATTTAAAAAACACTGCATTGTAAAACTAAATAAAATGCTCATCAAACGCTGCTATGTTTGTGAAGAAATGATGATATAACAATTGATTAATTAAACAATTATAGTTCTTGTAAATTAAAACGGAAATAATTGATGCAAAAAAAGATAATTTTTATAAATTTTAAAAAATATAACTGAAATATGGGATTCAAATTCGTGCAAGTATAAAAGTGATTTTGGATGGAGAATTGGTTTCTAAAGTGCAGATTTTGGATTTTTTAAGGTTTACTAGAATTTTGAAAAGGCTCAAAAAAGTTTCATTTTTAAAAGCTTTCAAATTCGTCCACAAAATCTCAAAATCCAGATTCACACACTTAAAACCTGCGCTTAGCCACCGAAAAAAAGCTCACCAAAATGCTTTCAAAATTTCGACAGATAATAAACCAAAAGTGAAAAATCTAGCTGTGAAGCTCCATACAGAAAAACTGATCAATATATAAAAAAATAATCAAAATATTTAAAAAACGAAAGTAACAAAAAAGCGGTAATGAGTTATTGAAGCTTTCAGAAAAAGCTGTTGTTGCCTTAATGTTCCAGATCTCAAAATTTATTGTTTAAATAATGTCTATATTATATGATAAATTGTTTTTAATTTACTTGTTTCGGCCAAAAAAAAAACGATGAATAATCAAAATTTATTGGTGCTTACTGTTACAACAGCGCTTTCATTGAGAGCTTTATCCTTTTTGATGTGTAAAAGCTTTCGATTTGGGAGCTTTTTTTGAACATTTTTTTGATGTGTATAAAAATACTTTTTTGTATGAAAAGAAAAAAAATATTAAAATTGACTGGTTCTATAATTTTTATGTTGGGAATGTTGGGAGCTTTTGGAGGTTGGGGTTTTGAACTTCCATGCCAAGATGTTAAATTTTGAAAGCTTTTTTGAACAGATGAATATTGAAAAGCTATCTGAACGCTTTTATAAGATTTTGAAGATTCATAAAGCTTTTTGACAGCTTTTTGGAAGCTTTTTGAACTTTTTGAATTTTTGTCAAAGCTTTTTGGATTTTTTTCAAAAATATTCAAATTTTAAAAAGTTAAAATTTAATCAAACTTCCACACCACAAGCTCCTCCCATCCCTCAACAATTTTGCCGAAATTAAAAAGACATTTAGGTCCAAAAAATATAAAAATCTAAAATTAATAAAAATAAATGAAAAAAAAACTATTTTTATATAAAATTAATTACCGAAATGAATTGTGTCCATATGAAGTAATGAAAAAAGAGGGGGTTAATAGTTATACATTAGCCTTTTTTTTTATTTAAGTAATCTAAAAACATTTTATTGTGGCATTTCATAAATCGTAGATTTTTATAGTAGGAAATAAATTTAAAAAATTCGATAATATGGAAACGATCACTTCCGTGGATCAGCGTGGAAGTTGAAAAAAAATTAAAAAATACTCAAAGATAAAAATTTTTATAAACTTTTTTATCGTTTATTTTAAGGGTGATTTAAGAGGCTACAAGGAGGTTTTTGGCGGGAAAATTTGAAAATTCCCACCAAAAACTATCCTTTTGCCCCCAAGACACCCTCGAAAAATTTCATTCGCTTATACTGAAAACTAAATGCTACAAGAATTATTAAGCACATTGTAAAATTGAAGGATGAAAGAGATGATAAAAAACCTTTTTTCTAGCCATGTAAGTTGATAATCTTAACCAAAATATTTTCAAAGCAGATAGTTGGAAAATATATATGAACATATTTTTACAACGATTTGCTGTCTTAACAGAGCTTATTATCTGAAACAATATCAAAAAAAAAACTCAAAATTTAAAAGAAAAAAATGAAAAAGATAAAAATGTAAAATAATAAAAAAAATTATTGTGGTTTCAATTTCAAACATTAAAAAATGAGAAAAATTCTTTTTTCATAACAAAAATATAAATTGTTTAAAAATGCCTCTTTTTTGCTTTTTTGGGGGGTTCGTTGGAAAATGATGTGCAGAGATTAAAGCCCTTTTACCACTTTTACTAGAAATTTGACATCATTTAATAACATCACAAATTACGTTTAATAAGAATTAGACTCATCTTTATCAATTTTTAAGTGTCAAATAGTTTAAGAACCACCCCCCCCCCCCTTGTACCCTCCTGTCTTATAACTTAGTCATCATTTGTGAATAAACCCTACGACCTTTTTCTGTGGTTTTGTACAATAAAAGAAGCTGTTTTGGATGTCTCAGCAATTATGCAGGTAAAGGAACCGTAAGTGGGAATCCAAGTCGTGCTTACAAGCAGAATAAATCTAACCTGAAGATTGAACGAGCATAAAAATTAAAAATGATTTCCCAAATTGAGCAAAAATGGAGGGAAATCACCAAACATGGGCAGTCTTATTCATAGCGAATTTATTGGCACAAATTTTGATTTCTTGAACATTCGGTCCAAATCTACTTCAAGGACCTTTCAATCATCCTAAAACATAATTAAACTAGGTTAGAATTGTTAAATTTTAGTAAAATTGTGCATAAATGTAGAACATGTAATGATAGTTGATTCCCATAGAGATCTAGCTAGTTTTGTAAAAATTAATAGGTGCAGAAATGATTGATGAAGACTGGAAGAGAGACGAGCCAACTGATCAACATATTGAACTTAATTTTGAGCAAGCAGCAACATTTTAAAATTTGTTCAGAAATAAAATTACAAAATTATTTTAAAAGAGTAAAAAGCTTTGTTTCAAGTCATCACTTGTTGTTTTAAGATTTCAGCATTATTTTTCAGGACTTCTTATTTCAGTTTCTTGTTTATTCATTTCGAAGTCTGCAGTTAATTGAGATTTGTGACTGATTATTTTCGTGATTTAATCAAAAATTCGTGAGATTTTATGCCATTTACATCAAATTGTATATTTTATATTCTCAAGGTACGCTCAGCTTCAAAAGGATCACATGCTGTCAATGACTTTCTTTAAATTGCTTTAAATGCTTGTTAAAAGCGCAAAAACTCATTTAACGAGGTTTTCTAATTTCCGTTAAAAAAAACCGACAATTAATATTCAAATTCAAATTCAAAAGCGTTGCATTAAACTCCGAATGACGCAGAAAAGTAGCGTACCCCTTTGTTTTTATTTACAAAATATTCTAAAATTAATTAAAATACACAAAAACTATGGCTTGCATAGCCTGTGAGGAAGTTCCAAAGCGTATAAATAACATCTACAGAGATGATGAACTAAAGGAAAAGTTTGAGAACATTACAGGAATAGCAGTAAGCATCAAAAATTGCAAAATATTCATTTGTTTACTAATTTTTCAAACAAATTTTCAGATTTATCAAAATCTTTTCCTTTGCGATCCTTGTTCCTTCATATTAAATCAGTCATACGCATTCAAAGAGAAATGTATAGAAGTATATGAGCGTGATTTAATAAAGTATGAGCCATGTCAAAGTACAGTAATGAAAACAGAAATTTACGATGAACATCCAGAAATTGAAGAAGAATACTTAAATTCATCAATAAACGACAGTCAAGTGATACAGGAAGAGCATTTAGATGAAGAGGAAAATGAGGAAACTATAATTATTGATCCATTACTTGATGCTGCTGAAAACAGTTCAAAACCAAGAGTTCGACTAAGGTACACACTAAAAGAGAAGCTTAAAGCTATAGATTTAGCTGAACGTACAACCAATAGACAAGCTGCAAAAGTATTGACCATAGATGAGTCTTGTATAAGAAAGTGGAGACAACAAAAGGAACAAATCAGGAATAATGGAAATCAAGAAGCATGCAAAATCACTAAAAAGTCTTTAAATATCCATCAAGAATCTCAGGAAATGGATTGTGACACAGAAATAGAATGTGAGATACAGACAGAAGTTGTCGACGAGACTATGGTTGAACTAAAGCCTGTAAAAGAAGTCAGAACTCGAAAATCATACTCAAGTGGTGAGAAACTTGAAGTTGTAGCTTTTGCGGAAGTGACTGGAAATCGACAAGCTGCAAAAATATTCAAAATAGACGAATCATGCATACGAAAGTGGAGAAATCAAAAGGAACTGTTAATAGAAATTAATCAGGAACGAGGAACAAGACGGAAGCCAAATTTGAGATTCCCAGACGTAGAAAGTCGTCTAAAAGCCTTTGTCTTGCAGAAATTAAATGAAGGAATTGTATTAAAGCCTAGCGAAATTAAAGCTGAATCAATAAGGATAGCAGAGGAGCTGAATATTACGAATTTTAAGGGAACTTCATCCTACATTTTTAAATTTATGGAGAGATATCATTTTCCAAGCAGCAGTAGAGGCAAAGGAACTAAATCCGCCAAGAAAATAATCCACGATGAGTCTGTAGACATAACTGTCGTCGATATTCTTTAGAAATTAAGGAACAAATAAAAATTACCTTAGCAAAAATTTTATTTCTACCAAAGTTCTTGATGGTTTTATTAATTATAGTATAATTATTGAAATCAAACATTTTTCTCGGGGATTACAAAATTGTTAAATCTGCCACTTTCTTTTCTTCAGATGTAAAATAACACAAAATTAATTAATTCAAAACTTTCTCGTCTATTCCTTATTATCTTCGTTCTGTTGCTGTTGTTGTTGATTTTGCTGCTGGAAGGAGACATTCTTACCTCGGTTACCTCGTCCCTGGCGTTTATTTTGATTCCAATTTTGTTGATTCTGTTGTCTGTTATATCCACCTTGTTGATTTGTTTGATTTCTGTTGTAATTATTGCGTTGGAAGAAGTTCGGCTGTTTGGCTTCGAATATTCTTTCATTTGCGTCTACGAGATTTGTTATTTTATCTACAAAGATTTAATGGAATTCAGCATTAGCATCAGATAATTTATGGAAATTTGGAATTCAAAAATTTAAATTCTTATTCAAAAAAATTCAAATTTGAAAAATAAGTTAAAATTCATTACTTACCAGCAAGTTGCATAGATAATGCTTGGAGACGTGATGGTTCAGAACGATGCATAACGACAGTCTCAGTTGGATCATCAAGAGATGCCATCAGTTCCTCGTTAATAATCATTTTACTAATGATTGAATAAACCTTGATTTTCGGCAACTCAAACATTTCTGCTAAATAAGCGACACTAATTGCTCCATAAACATTTGAGTATGTGAACAAGTATGTGCGCAGTGATTCCTCCTTAATAAATTTAACAAGCATGTCACGAACACGATCCGATTCATAGAATAAATCCCAAACTTTTGTATTCATCTTTTTGTTCACAATAAAATCAGCACATGCTTTCCAATCTCCGTGTCTCATTGCCTTTGATGCAGCAACGACATGTTCACGCATTGATTCTGGTGGTCCGACTAATGATTGACGTTCTGATGATCGCAATTGTTGATAGAATGTTTTACTAAAATTTATAAATGATATAAATATGTTAAATTGCAATCACAGGATATACTGTGGACTATTAAAGGATATCCCCTCGGCAAAATAAAGTTTAATCTAGTCCTAAGCCTTTGAAATGACAACTGTTGCTCTCATTGACACTTCCTATAATCAGGACTTGAAATTTAACGGATTTTCAAAATTCAAATTTTAACGTTTTTCAAAAATTTAAAACTTTGTCCCTCATGATTCATGATTTCAAATGTTGAACTTTAACGTTTTTTGAAGCTTTACTTGCCAGGATAAATATCCTTAAAAAAAACGTAGTAAAAAGCTTTAAATCAAATAAAAACTCACCTAATCATACGACGTCTAGCATCAAACTCATGAGCAGCCATATATGGAATTTCAAGAAGCATAGCAGACACCAAATAGACACATTCCAATAATTCTAAATTAATATGCATATGGAAAGGAATTTGACGTTGTTTCTCAATCTTTTCTTGTTCTAAACTTCTCTCGTGTTGCCTTTGTGGAATCAATCCTTGTGCAAGCAATTCTTTCGGCTTAGCAGTCATCATTAATTCAATCAAGCACTGATGAGCATCCTTAATGTTTCCTTGACGGAATGCACACAAACCCAAATTAGCCATCGTACGATTAAATAAAATTTGAGTTGATGGATCAGAATGTTGAATAGATTCTTGCAAGTGACTCATAAGGACTAAATCTCGTGCCTGGAACCAATTGTCATGAAGTGCATGATGGAAAATGTGCGATAAAATTGCGCGAGTTCTCAAACGATCAGTATTGTCATTCGAGTAGATAAAATGACACAATTTTTCCATTTCATCAACTGATGTCTTGGCTTCAAATTGTGCCTTTTTCTTTCTCAAGACATTTGGATCAAACTTGTAGTAAAGATGATCAATCTTACGTAAATAGACACGACAAATTTCAATTGGTGATCCTTGAATTTCAACATATTTCAAGACTTGATCGATAAGTTTTGTTACAGTGACTTCATCCTTTAATCGTTCAACATACTCATTGCTATGTGGATCGCATTCCTTAAGCAATTTAATGAATTCATCATCAAGACGTTCAACTGCTGTTAAAACGCAACCTCTTAAACGATAAGGTGCTGTTTCGTATTCTTCTGTCTCGTCTGTGACATTTTCAGACAGACAAACTTCATTGGCACTGCCCAACAACATTTTCATCATATCAGTCATAACTTCAAGCAATTTAGTCCAATATTCAAGCTTCATTGGCTCAGAAATCTTCAAATTGTAATCAAAAATAGCCGAAACCATACTGAATCGAATTTTAGCAGCAATTGCTGGTCCAAGATTATGTTGTTCCGCTACAGCTTTTAATTCTTGAAGGAATTCAATTTGCATTTTACGATCGGTCTTTTTCTTTCCACGTGCAGCCATAACTTCACTAAGTTTATTCAATACAACACTTAGATCAATTTCAGCGTCTTTAGCAAACATTTTAGGCTTTTCACTGGCTCCATATTTAGGAACAGTTTCCCAAGCACCTTGTCCATCATCTTCTTGATCATCAATTTTGTCTGCCTTAATTTTAGGCTTAGACTTGATCTTAACTTTCTTATCCTTTACTTTTGCATCATCTTTGTCGATTTTATCCTTTAAGAAACGACTTTTCATGTCTGTTGCATCATCATCATCAGAACTGGATGTAGAATCATCGTCGCTGTCACCCCAATCAATTGAATCATCGTCAGAATCTTCGTTTTCAACTTTAGTTGCTTTTGGTTTTACAACTTTTTCAACTGGATCTTTTTTGAACATTGCAGACTTATCTACTGGTTTTTCGTCTTCAGATTCATCTGATGATTCTTGTTCTACTACTTTTTCTTCGATTTCATCCTCATCATCGCCACCAACATCTGGATTTTCTCTAAACTTCTTAATGTCACTTTCAAAGTCTTTTACATATTTACGGAATTTTTGACGGAGTGTACTTAATGACTTTCCATTATTTTTGGACATGTTCTTACGGCCATCCTTATCATCCCATGTTTGATTGATGAATTCTTCAAGTTCAGATAATGAACGAATTACAAACTTTGGAATAACACCATTTTCTTCTTTCAGAATAACTGGCTGCGCTTTAGAATACGCTTTTGTCAGTTCCTCAAAACTCGATAAGATACTTCCGATATCTTTGATTTTCTTAAAGTTTCGGATGTTTTTAATAATGTTGCTTAATTCTTCGAATCTCTTCTCCTTTGCTGATCTAACAACACGCTTTACATCTTCCTCGTCGCTATACTGCAAATAATAAACAATTTAAGTGGATATTCTGGATGTAATATAATGTTTTAAACTTACAACAATCTGTGGCTGAATTGGCTGTTGTATTTTAATTGGTAATTCATCTCCACTCGATGACTCTGACTCAGAGTCGGATCCTCCAGCAAAAAATCGAGACATTTTCTAGTTCCTTATCAAAAATCTGTAAAATTAAGAAATATATTATAAATCTAGGTTAGATGAGAAAAATGCCAAAGTGTCTATGAAAATTTTTGCATGCACGATTTTTTCATATTTTTACGGCACTTTGAGGGCAACTTTAATATTATTTCACTAGATATCGAACTTATGAATTTATTTTACACTAATTGTATGTCATAATACCTGTTTTAATTAAGTTATTTAAGCTTTTAATTTTGAGTATGAACCTTTTCTATTTTTTATTGTGGCATAACTCATTTTTCCATAACATATTTACATTTGAATATAAAAAAACGTTACATGAAACGTTTAATTGAAGGACTTTATTGCCTTCAGTTTTAATTAAAGATGACATTATATTTAGTCAAGGGATTTCTAAAGCCTGTAGTTTAGTGTTTAATCAATTCTAAGCTCTTTACTATAGTTAATCTTATTGGAACTGTAACGACTGTTTGAAATTCAAACTTTTAACAAACACATACTAAGTCAACAACAAATTGCAAAAAATAAATAATAAAAAACGAAAATATTTAATTAATCGATAATCATGGCTTGTGTGGCATGTGAAAGTTACGAGAAGCGAATCACAAATGTCTTTCGAGACGAAGAACTAAAGAAAAAGTACGAAAAGCTGATTGGATTTAAGGTAAATGAGAAAAAATTAATTTTTCACCTTCCTTTTCAATAATATATTTGAATTAAAGGTAACAGCAGATTGCTTCATTTGTGATAACTGTAAGCGAAGGCTAGTAGAAGCACTGAAGTTCCAACAAAACTGCATTAGAGTCTATAAAAAGAACAATCCTAATTATCAGCCATGTTCAAAATCATCGAGTAAAACATCAGAAATCGAGGATACATACAGCAATGAAGAACCTCCAGAGCCCACAAATCTATTACCAAACGATGAATTTACTGATTTTAAGTTTATTGGAACAGAAACAGTATATGAGAACGTAGAGAGGCAGAGTTGTGTGAAAATTCCCAAAAATGAGATTGAAGTCCATAAATGTGTAATAATTGAGAAGCAGTCAGACCCTTTCATGTCCTTTGATGATGACCAAAACAATACTTATAGAGAAGACAGCCCTACAGACTACTCTCTACTAGATAAAAAGCCAAAAAGAGTTTACAGCTTGACAGAAAAGCTCAAACTTATTAAATTTGCCGAAGAATACTCAAATCGTGAAGCTGCAAGAAAGTTCGGTGTGAATGAATCAACGATCAGATTCTTCAGGAAACAGAAAGCTAGAATGAATACTGTTAAGCCAAAAAAGAAAAAGAAGGAAGTGAAAATTGAGAATGACAGCGAAGACGATAACAAATGTCTGGCTGAATTGATGTGAATCTAGTTTGTAAATTTAAGCTAATTTATTTATATTGTAAGAGTGCCGTTTTAAGTCATTACTAAATAATTGTCACTTAAGATCTGTAAAAAATGTTCTTAGTCCATTTTGCATGCTATGGCTTTTGTTATTTTACAGCCTTTTTTGTATATTTAAGATAATTCAGAATTTTATGATCCTACATAGAGTAATCAGCACCAAAAGTTTAATGTCGAGTGCCTATAAAATTAACGTATTTTAAAAATTTGAAACTCAAACAATATTAAATTTGAGGACTTAAACGTAAACAAACTTTTTGGACAGTAATATTCAGTTAATTATGGCTTGTGTAGCTTGTGAATCGTATGAAAAGCGGATCACGAATGTTTATAGAGATGAGGAACTTAAAGAAAAGTACGAAAAACTTGTTGGATATCAGGTAAAACAGCATAATTATGAAATTACAAAATTCTTCAAAAATACTTAATTCTAGGTCATTGTGGATTGCTTTATCTGTGATATCTGCAATCAGAAGCTAGTTGATGCACTAGACTTTCAACAGACGTGCATTAGAGTATATAGAAAGAACAATCAGAATTATGACCAGTACCCAAAATCATCACATAATCAATCATCAGAATTAGGAAGTAAGGAACAGGAATATTTTATTCTACAGACAGCAGACGACGATTATACCAATGAAGATCAGGCAGGCAATCAAAGTCAATTAATAGACAATGAATTCTCTGTGTATGAAATTAATGAAAAGGAGTTAAATTTCGAGGAATCAGATAAGCAAAGCTGTTCCAAAACTGATGATCCTAAAAATGAGCTTGACATCCAGGAATGTCTAATAATAGAGAAGCAATCTGAAATCGATGACACACTTATGACATTTGGCGATGATCAAAATATTTCATATTTAGATGACAGTAAAGGAAGTAAAAAACCAAGAAAGTCATACACAGTCGAACAAAAGCTGAAAATGATAGAATATGCAGAACAAAATTCGAATCGTGAAGCTGCAAGGAAGTTTAACCTTAATGAGTCGACAATAAGATGCTTTAGAAGACAGAAAGAGACACTGGAAGGGATGAATCCCAATAAATCAACAAATAGGTAAAATCCAGTGAAATTATAAGCTCATTAGGTATTAATTATATGATCAATTTAGACATGGAACACCGTATTGGCCTGAATTAGAAGCAAAACTTAAAGAATGGGCCGATAAGCAAGCCACACGACCAAAAATGACAGAAGTTAAGGAAGAAGCAATTAAAATTTCAAAGAGTTTGGGTTATGAAAACTTCAGTGGATCCAACACGTATATATTTAAATTCATGCAACGAAATAAAATTGAGACTGCATCACCAAGACCAAGAAAGAAGCTTAAACTCGAACATGAAGAGGATATGTAAGATAAAATTTAAATCTGTATATGAGAAATGTTCAAAAATTGTCTGTAACTGTAAGAAAACAAATCAAAGATGTAGATCAGTTCCGCATCCTTGGAACAAAAATAACTATTAAGACTATGTTTAGTATATTTAGCAATTTAAGCTAATTTAAAATAAAACTTTTATTTTTTTCACTGCTCAAAAATACCTCCTTTTTCACAATTTTGTTGTACATTTGATTTCCCAACATTTAAGCTTTTTTTGTATGAAATTTTCAAAGGTTTCAGGTCAGGTGAAATTCTAGTAGATTGGATTAACATGATAATTAAAGATCAACTGGGTGGCAATGACTTAAAAATATGAACCATCAACTTATTTGGTGCTCAGCGATGATTTTGTAGATCCACAAATGACATAGATCAAAAAATCTAGTCATAAATGTGGATATTGAAGCGTTGACTGTGAAAAGGTTCCTGTTTTTATTTGCCATCCAGCATAATTCAAATCAAATTCCACTTCTGAACCTTTAATATGAATATATTCTCATCTTAATGATCTCTGAAATTTGTCTATTTAATTTTAAGGTAACTTATAACTCTTTTTCTTTTTTGAAATTTTGTGTTATATTTCAGGCACTTTTCTATACTTATTAATTTTTTTGTTGAGATGTTTGTAAGGGCTTGAGAAAAAAATAATGATTATATTTGGGGTTTTAAGTTGGTTGTGATTATTAATTAAGATATTTTAAAAATAACGGATTTTGACAATTCAAAAACATTTGAGAGGTTCTGAAGAGTTGAAATAATTTGTGTGGTTTTGCAAATTGAAAAATTTGTAAGGTTTTCTCAATCGTGAATTTGTAAGGTTTCAAAACTTGAATTTGTATGGTTTTGAAGGTCAGAAATTGAATTTCAATTGTTTTCAAACACTCAAACCTAAATTAATTTGTATGGTTTTGACATTATTCATGTCAAAACCCCAACCAACTTAAAAATTCCCATTTAATTAACATTAAAAATAAGAATAAGAAAACCGACATCAATAATTAATTGAAAATTCACTAAAATTTATATTATTAAGAGAAGAAAAATAAATAAACTTATAAAATAAAATAGTTTTTATCAATTATTGCAAAAGAAAAAGATCCAAGAAAAAGTTAAGAATTTTTAAAAACACAAATCATGGCACATAACAATTAGAAATTCATACAAAGATCCATGTAATCAAATAAAAGTCAAATAAAGTGCTCATAACTACGTGTTTGTGTCCCATTAAAAATATTTGTTTTTTCATCATCATGCAGCAGCTCACAGCCAGGAAGAATGAATTGATTTTGAATTTTTTTTTAAGGCAACATGCAACGTGGATATCCAAAATTCAACTATTTCGATTTCGTGTTCTTTTTACGCGTCTTTTCGCTGTATACAGCGTTACTCCTCAAATTTCGAATGATGTTTACCTTAAAAACTTTCTCTTTCATTTCCTTCTTGTTGGCTGGTGGTGATGACTTAACATCACTTTGTGAGCTGCGTAAAATTCGTGAATCTGATGATGTATTTTTCTCTTGTACCTTTGATCTTGATTTAACATTGGCAATTGACTCCAATTGCTTTTTAATTGCTAATGAAGTACTTGCTTTCATGTCTTGAAATGCTTTTACAGCACGACGTGCACAACGGACAATTCTTCGTTGACTCTTCTCCTTTCCAATTGTCTTTTGAATGATGCCTGAAGATCGGATATTTCCTGAACGCATTTTACAGTTAGTCTGTCTTGTCTCATAATATCGGCCGGTTGATGTATTTTTACTGGATTTTTTCTTTTTATCGTGAGTTTCAGAATTTTCTTTATTGTTGCTTCTTTCTGGCAGATTCTTAGTTTTATTTGCACTTAATTTCTCATTAATTCCAAGATTTGACGACGAAATTTCAAATATTTGTATTGAAAGATCAGTTTTAGGATTCTCAGGCTCTACATCACTTTTGTTTATTTCCAACTCATCAGCATCAACTGATGTTGCAATATCAGTTTTAGTTTCTTTTTCTTGCTTTTCGTCATCGGACCATTCCATTTCTTCGGTATCTGTGTCAGATAATTCTTCTTCTTCCTCCTCACGATTAATTTCATTGTGCATTTCAGCAATTTCAGCCTCAGTTGGACGTAAATAATTATATCGTTCCATTGGTCGTGGTGACATAAAGTTTTGATTCTGTAGAAAACTATTATCATTAATAGGCGGCAAAGAGAATCCAAATGAATGATTTGGAACAGGACGATATGCATAATGTAAAGGTGGAAATGGCTGTTGTGCCATACTCTGATACATTTCTTTATGCTGATCAAATGTTGCATGATAATGAATTTGTTCATCAGCTTTTGCCAGTAAGAATCTTTCATTTGGACAACATCCTTTAACAAAGGCACGTTCATTGCTACTTGTATGATAAGTTAAATCCGACGAAGATGAAGCCCGTTGATGGTCCAAATATGTTGTATGTGAATATGTGTGATATCCAACAGAGAACGATGGTAATTGATTTGGATTGTGATGATCGTGTGGGTTGTTTTCATAATGATTATAATATGGATATGGATTGACTTGATGGGGACTTTGCATGACTAAATTAAAATTTGGATGAACATCATAAGCACTCATGTCGACATAGTCAAGATTGTAAGCCTCACTGGTGCTATAGTCATAAATTGTACGACTATTTTGCTCCGTTTCAATATTGCCAATATTTTGCATTTTATTTGGTACGTCTAGCATGACACATACAACAGATGTATTATCTGATCGCATTTTATTTTCCCTCCATCGCCTTAGTGCAATTTCAACTAAATGACGTGATGGATTAAGCCATTTCATAGCTGATTTATCAACCATTTTAGCATTTTGGTCGTTACTTGCTTCTGCTTCATAAACGAGATCAACAGCTGTCTGTCCATCCATAATATTCCATAATCCATCACTTGCAAATATCAGACATCTATAAAATACATAATTTGAAAATACTTTCGAATGTATTGAGATGTTTTAAATGTCATACCTGTGCTTTGAAGAATCAATTTCATAAACAGCAACATCTGGTTCTGGTGAGACCATAAATTTGTCAGTTTTCCAATTATAAGACCATAAATCACCGAGACTTCGTGCCACAGCTAAGAATGGAATTTCCTCAATCCTTGTATTACGTCTTATTGGACCTTGATGTGGAAATCTTGGTCTATACCAAACAACACGATGAATTCCAATCTTTTCAATCACTTTTCCACCAGCTTCCTCTATTCTCTTCCTTTCTTCTCGATTTTCAGGTTTGTGATCGACTGTCAATGGCTCTGCTACCCAATTCCTTCCAGGTTCAGAACTTTCCGTTCCCAAAATAATTCCTGAGTCACCAGCATGTCCAATGTACAATTTTCCTTTACGAATAAATGCAATACTTGCTGTGGTTCCTGCCGTACTTGGTAAGCCACTATTTGTAGGCTTCCAATTATCTACATAGATGTAAAGAAACAGAGAATGAAGAGAAGAAAAAGAGAAAACATGAGCAACATTATAAATAAAAAAAAACATGTTTAAACGTGCATTTTTCGTGCACATGTATTCGTCATTGCCGTTCATTTGTGGGATGTGCGCATGTGTATTGTAAAGTACTTGAGATATTCACTGGCGGAACTAATAAATTAATTTGTTTTAATGGGCGAATGCAAGTATTCTGAGATAAATCTTGGTAATTAGAATTGAGTTATGAACAGGTATTAATAGGGATTATATTAAGCTTTAGACTACATTAGGTAGGAAAATGTCTTGACATTGACTAGATTTTGGCTACGCCACTGTGCTGAATAAGAAATCGCGCTCTAAATTTATATGTTCTTTTAGAATTCAATCAAAACAAATAACAAAACTTACCCAAATCTCTCCACATAGCCATGTGACAATCTAAAAATCCCGTTTTTATTGCTTTCAATACATCTGAAAATGACGAAATTTGAATGAATTATTAAATAAGCTTAATATTTTAAAGTCTATAATTGCTTATTTAAGGATATATTAGTAATATTTGACCTTACCTTCATCGTCATTTGACCAAAATCCAGGCTGATCGACTATGAAGTTCATCAAATGATTCTTGGCAAATATTGCAGCTGTATCTCCACCGTGACTGCATAATAATATATTAAATTTAATTACTTTTATTCGAGAATAAATTAACAACTTTTTAATCTTAAAAAAATTCCCATTTCCAAAAGTTATCAAAACTTGAAATTGTACAAACTGTTTGGAACTGGATGTTTACAAAAAATGAAGCTTGTTAAAAAAGAAAGTTAATAATTATTTGCTTAATAAATTATTTCTTGACTCACCCATCAAACATTCCAAAGTATGCAAAATCCAGCTCACTTCCATCGTTTGTCTTTTGATAAGCCACTGAGTACACATCTTCCATGTACTTACGATTTCCTGGATATGAAAAATTTAATTTTAGAAGCGCCAAAATGGGGAAATAATCGTATAGTTTTTAAATTTTATATAACTTACCCATTTCACTATATGCAGTTACCCGCAACCCAAATCTTTCATATCCTTTTGCACTTTTCATATTCATTTTTGCTATTTTAACATTTCAATATTTATTAAAAAATTATTTTTTTTTTGAAAATCAAGCTAGTTTATGCTATTTTCAATAGTTGTTGTAATTCTCTAGAAAAACTAATGACTTGGATTGTCCGTATAATAATTAGCTAATTATTTAAATTACACAAATTTCACTTCTTGTCCAAGATACTTTTGAGAATTTTCGTTTGTAACTTGAGAATATTTATTGATAGCATAGAACTTATACCATCAATATCTTATTTTGATTTAAAAATCTCAAAAAAAGTTTAAAGAAAATGAAAAATAAAAAGAAACTTTGTAATCCGAACACCGTTTATCCGAAATTGTTTTGAAATTTAAAAACCGTTGAAAAATTGAAATTAAAAAGATATTTTTTCATATTTTAATAATTGTTTCATTTTTTTCGTTATACACCTTTATAATCAACAGTTTTATTCAACATAATAATGCATAAGAATCTAAATGTTCATATATTGACCATTCATCAAGTTTATATAAAAAAGTTTGATTGTTATATTTTTCCATTCTTTTGTTTAGCAATAAGAAATAAGTTACGAAGGTGTCTCAATAGTTTCTTGAGCTCGACCAGAACAATACATTATCAATCTATGTGTCTATTGCGAAAGATTAAATATAGGTAATAATTGCCTCACACACCATTTATGGAAAGAATTTAAGTATAATAGTTTTTTTTTTTGAAATTCAGGAATTGATAGTACAAAAAGGAATAGTCATGAGATTATCATAAATTTTTATAATCATGTTTCTAATGTTGCTTTTTCGATAACATCCACATAAAAATTCCATGAAAGACTATTCCAATGGCAAGTATAACTAACGAAACTACATTTAAATTCATAAATGAGCGAGAATTTGTATCCTGTTTTATGACTTTCGATAATTGCTTCTGCATGTTTGCTATAGCTGTATGTTGCTCATCTAGGCGATGATTTATCTTATCAAGAGCTTCTGAAAGCCTGAAAATTATTCAAAATTATTATTAACATAATTATAGCCAGCTATAATGTGTCAATTTACTTATTTTGATGCACTCGAATCTCCAATTCCCCACTCGAGTCGGAATGTCCATCAATATGATCAGTTGGTGTTGATATATTAGCAGCATTTTGTATCGAACTTAAAGCGCGTCTTGCTGCCAACGAGTTTCTCGATTCTGTTTTAAGAATACTCAACGGTTCAGAACTTACAATACTAGCAGTTCGCACAATTGGAGCTTGATGCTTCGTTTTAGTTTGAATTTTATAATTATTTTCATATTGTCGCACGTCATTTCTTAAATCCCATGGACGTAGGTCAGCATGAACATAGTGCCACTAAAATAGTTGATTGGAACTTTAAATTGGTTTTTTGTATAATTTTAAAACACATTAAAAGTGTTGGAAAATTGAATAAATGCATAAGTAAAGTTTCAATAATTTGATTTCTAAATGAAGTCATGAGTTCGAACCCCAAAAGTGTTAACACCTTGGTTGTTCAAATTTGGTGTTTTCTTGTTGAAAATTCAACAGCATATTTAAAGGATAAAATAAATCTTCATCTTAGTGTATACCTGTCCAGTAACAAGATCCTGTTGAAAATGCTTTGGAATCCAGTCGGAGCACGTCGCCTTTCGTTCTTTTACAGCCGTTCGCTGTGCCTCTTCTAATGCAGTCTTTTCTTCCGTTGCTCCTACTTGATCTTCACGCTTGATTGCAGCTATTACATGTTGCCACAATCGTTCACTCTCATTTGAAGCTTGTGTTTCTAATTGAACAGTAAATCGTTTAAGCCTTAGTTGCTTCATATCCGGCGTAGCAGCAAATAAAACACTTTCCTCGTTCGTTCGTGCATCCTTTATCATTATTTTTCCATCCCAATGTCCATGAATTGAAGCCATTGTTTGCTTGCCAAGCTTTAATTTACCAGTTACTAAATTAGTGTATTCGTTACCGCCCAAGAATGGCTTAAGTTTAAATTCGAGTTCCGTTTTATATCCGGTATTTTCGCATTCAATTGTCACTTTCCCCCCCAATTCCATCGTTAAAGTTCCCATTAAAATACCCTTGCAATAAGCATATGGAGAATTTAATGTATAATGTTCGCCTCGAGGAAGTAACGTCAAATTAGCGACGCCTTCTAAAATAGCACTAGTTGAATTGCCGTAAAATTTCGATTTAGCCAAAATGGAGCAACTTAAACAAAATCCATCCTGACGATTAGTCATATAAAATGCTGCAAAAATGGTAAGAAAATTAATTGTAGATATAAATAGAATGCTGCTCACCAGAAACAGGTGGATGATGTGAAACTTGTTCAGCCAAATAAAAAGTTCGACTTCCGTTTGGGTGCTGCCAAAAGCATCTAAATGTCTCGCCTAATATTGGATTAAATGGCTTCTTCAAACCTACAAACGAAAGCTCATGTCAATATCTATAAACCCACAAATCCAATCAATTATGTCTTACCCTTAGGCTTCTTGTAAAATCCAGACAAATACCATTGAGTTATAAGCTTCATACGAATGAATGGATCGTCTTCAACAACAGCTCTAGAAATTATATCAGCATGATAGAATGAATCGGAAAGTTTATCGAGGAATGATCTGGGCTCAAGTATAAAAGTTGGAAGAACGACTTTTGAAAGATCCATTCCAGGACGAACTTGCTTAACTAAGAACCAAATTAAGCTCTTGTGCTCTTCGGCTAGTTCTTCTACTTGTTCTCCAGCCTAGTAATAATAACATTACAGAATTAATTAAGGATGATTTTGTCAATGTAAACAGCTAGAAACTTACAGCACCGAATTCTTCTTCATATTGCTGAATGTAAGCAGTTTCTTGACATTCGTCAGCCAGATCAATTGGCTCGTTCTCAGATTCACTTTCAGTCTCGCCAGCTGACATAACAACCGTTGTACTGCCTTCAACATGACTTGCGTTATCATCAATATCCAAATCTTTTTTTTACATATGATTTTTTAGATATTTTTCATATACATATTTTTTGTTAGTATATCAGATGCATAAGCGAAAGAAAAAAAAATGAAAATAGCAAGATGATGGATGTTAAAAATTGAGAAATTGAATTGAGTAAAGAAAATTAAGTATATGTAAAAGTATGAATGGAATTTAATAAAAACTAGCAATTAGAGCAATTAAAATCTCTATCTGGAAAGTATTTGATTTACAGAAGGTCTTGTGGGGATGATTCACAAATGACGTCGAGTTGATCTTACATCTTTAACTACTTTACAGCTTCAGAAATACCTATTCCACTTGAAAAATGACGTCAAAAGTGAACATACCCCCTTTAAATTGAGATTGATGAGGATGTGGGTGGATATGAATAGCTAGGTAAGAATAGGAAAGTTCAAGCAAATAATAAAATCTCAAAAGCTAATTTAGCTAAAGTCATCAAAGAGAAACAGAAAGCAGATGACTAAGTGGAAGCAAATTTTTGCTGTTTTTATGGCCTTACTTGCGTGATTATTTTAACGAGATTCTTAAAAACGATTTTCAATCACTTTTGAACTATCCTTGAAGGTGAAATTTTGTTATTTCTCGTGCTCCGGCTCAAAGAATAAGAATCTCCAAACGTTTTGACATTAAATAAATTAGTTTAAAAGTTGTTTGCATTCAAAAGTGCCAGGTGGAGAGTCCACGAGAAAATTTGACTTAAATCTAACGTCAGTGATGGGAAAATCTTTTTGTTTTGGATTTTAAAGGTTTTAATACATAAAAACGAACCCAAACTATATCTACTGACCAACTAAGACCCACTCATATAAAAACAGCAATTTTCCAATATATTACACCGATTACGCATTATAAAAAGTTTTAATTATTTCGAAATTTTCAAGCATTGACCTAAATCAAATAGCATTAACATTCACTTATGATGCAAAAAAATGCATTAAGAAAAAAATAATTTTTGTTGCTAAACTAACTCTTCAACTTGTTGTTGATCCTAATATCCACTTTTGTTGGCATCTTTGAAACATTAAATGGATAGCTTTGCCGCCGATTACTGCCCGATTCAACAGCAGTTTCATTGACATTTGTAAATGAACTACTACGCTGCACAATCTTCTCCGTGTTATAATCAACTGAGAGGTATGCATCAGGTGACATGCGATCAATTTGACCAAGGGCTTGATAAAGCTGCTGAAAAAGTGGAGTGGGAGAGGGACAGGGACTTTGGGGAAAGAAAACTTTCCCAATGTTTGCTGGAGTTGCAGCACGAGACGTAAAAATTCTCAATAGTGGCGACAAGTTGCCACCTTATTATTAAAAAAAATATGCAAAACAAAATTGAGCAAAAAATTGTTTCGCGGAAGCAGAAAAAAATTTAATAAAAACATTTCCATTATCCATTGCTTTTGTAGGAAGTAGAGTTGGGATGATTGGGATTTTTTTGGCGGAAAAATGTTTGAAAACCTTACAATTTTTTTTTGTTTTTTGAAACTTTTTACTGGATTTGTAAGGTTTTCGTATTGTGAAACATAAATTTTGAATTTGATCCTTAAATTCCCATTCCAAATTTACACAGAATCATCCCACAAATTCCTCACTTACAACTATTATTTAAACAACTCACAAAAATCAACTCACCATGTTCATTAAAATGCTTCTCATAATCAGCATCAGACCATTGAGTTTCATGCGAACTCGTACCAGATGCGGCACTTTCATTAAGTGGTTCTCCTTCAACAGTTGCACTTGTGCTAAAGGATCTTACTAATAATGCTGAGCATCTTAATGAAAGTTCTAAAGCATCCATCCAGCATTTACCAGCTGCTTGCGAAGGTGCACGGAAGATTAAATAAGAAGTTGGGAGTGGCTGAACGACAGCTCCCATAGTCTCTTTCTCGGGGCCACGTGGTGCCCAAATTGATTGATCAAGTGGATGAAAAAGTTTAAAACAAAATCCATCCTTTTTACTTGGACGTTCGATGACTTGGCATGATGTCAACACAACTGTACCGACCCATGATGAGCTTTTAATTTTCGGACTTTTATACAGCAACAATAAGCCTGGCTTGAGAACACACCAAAGTTTTGTCCAACTTTTTAGAGTTCCACGAACTTTCAGCCAGTCAGCAAGTACAATAACAGCCGGATCTTGTAATGAATTAAGTAATTCACTCGCGACACGTTTCTTCTCCTTTCGATATGACTTTCGTTGTGCTTTATATGACTCTTTGCGTGTAAGCTTTGAATCGACAACCATCTAGATGAATAAAAAAGGTAGAGCACACACAAAATAAAATAAAAGGACGACAATTAGGTTGAGAGGTTGTAAATTTATTGTAACACGAGCCACTACCTTATTTTCAGCTAAAGCACTTTCAATCTTCGGACTATGTTCGTTCCATACCGAAATTCCTGACATAATAAATAATATAAAAGATAATGAATTATGGTAAAAAAAAATACTATAATATTAATTTTAATATGACCGCATTAGCGTCAATAAAACACATCAACATGTAACGACATCAAGAAAGAAAAATCGATAACAAAATAATTTTTTATAATATCAACAACAGTAACAAGTAACGTCTCATACAGTAGCAATTTAATTCTGCAATTTTCTCTTATTTCTCCTATTCACAAAATAAATTATACAATGCCATTACTGGCAGACACGGTGGTGTCTTCACTGATTCAGTAAGAAAATGAAATAAAATATACATGCAAAAAGAATTGATTTTTTTAGCGCATTTTCCACTAAAATGCCGGGTAATTATTATTGCACACTGACATTTATTTGAATAATTTAAATATTGTGTAGGTGGGGACTGGTATTCGTTGTATTTGTTAAAGTCGTGTGACTTCTTAATGGTAAATGAAAGTGGTCGAGATCGATCAATCAAGTGTCGTGTGAATTGCGATGATTTCACTGCTAATATTGATAATTATTGATGTTTAAATTGAATTCGAGCTTTTTTGGGGGTGTGGATGGTTAGGAATTTTGTTCGTTTGTTATCCGGAGATATTTTTGCATCATCGAGCTATAAAATTCTCACAAAACTTGTTGTACAACAAACTACGTAACAGTAGATTCCCAGAAAACAACACGAAAATGCAGCAGTAAGCGCAGTCGTTTCAATTTTTTATTTTTTTTTTTTAATTTACGCTACGATTTACTAATTTTTTCATGACTTGATCTGAAAACTAAGCTTAATGATACTAGAAACTGTCTACACACTTCCTGAACATGCTCATGAGCTGAAAAGTTTGAAATTTTATGATTTTGGGTTAGCAACTTAATTTCAGCATGCAAAGAATCACCATAGAGATAAAACTGACTACCAAATATATAGATTTTAATCATTATGATATAATTTCACTTCAATTTACTCCAGCATGAACAAATCACTCTAAAAACATTCAAATCATTAGAATAGTTTGTCATCTGACTAAAAGCTTCGTCTAAGGACTATCGCATTAAAAAATCTCCACTTGAAATCATTCAAAAAGTACTAAACATGAATTACAATAAGATCATGAAGAACGATAAACGCTCGATTATGATAATCTTGCATGTGGGCATGCATTATTTATCATACGGTCTCCAATAAATTTCCCAGCTCAATTTAGATACTAAACTTGAATATTTTTTCATAGATCTCTAATTATATAGAATTAAAGTTTGCAGCACTAGTGAATCTTGCCTTGACCGCATCCATCAAATTCACACGATCATCAACAAATTCAAATCTAACTACATTGCGTCTAAAAATCTCTGTTAAATCACCATAACTTTTAAAAACAAAAAAAAACATAACATTAGTTTCGTAACAATCAAGCACGACACACACCATTTACGTTGTCTATGTATTACACAGTTTTTTTATTTTTAAATGCTTTTTTTGTTCCTCACCAAGATCAGATAAACAAGATTCATGTGACGCACATTTTCAATTCTACTCATGTCTTTCATTACAAAATGAGATAAACAAGAAAAATAACATTTTTTTTTTGATAATAAATTCTATTATTTCACATGATAAATGCGCTGTCAATTTTAATTTAGAGCAAATTTTCCACATTTATCTCCTTATTATTGTTATTCCTTTTTTTTACCGTACCTAACAGAGATTTCCATCGCATTCTTTAAGCACCTTTATTATCAGACTACACAGTAAGTGTGCTACACATAAACTACTAAAGTGATGTTGAATGAAAATATAAAATATACAAAAACAAAAAACAAAAAATATGAAAAGTTGGAAGGAATTGTTCAAACACACATAGAGAGAGAGAAGTATTATTTTATTTTGTGTCAAGTGGGGAAAAGCACCTTCAAAGTTTTTTTTTGCAATTAAAAAATATATATATGTATGAAGGTATCAATTACATGCTGTACTTTTATATGTGAGGTCAGGTTCATGGGAAAAATAATAGCGAAAAACTGCATGTGTTTGTGTTGAAATGAATTTTTCTAGTGTCTGCCAAACTATTTTGTCTAAAACTCATCTTAAACTTGCATGATGTGTGTATGTATGTCTGTCTGTAGCTTGACATCACTACCAGCTTAATCTTTTATTGTAAATTTTGGCATAAAATGTGTGTAAAAAGTCAGAAACCAGAATAAAAAAAGATTTGGAGTGCAATATTCAAAATAAATTCCAGAAGCGAGTCTAGCGTAATTTTTGAGTCAACTCGAGTCAGAAGAGAGTTAGAGTCTAGACTTCTCTCAAAAACAGTATAAGTTTCAAACAACATTTTAGGCATGCATTGGTGCATAAAGGAACAGATCAAACTCATCTTAAGCTAAAATAACCCAATAAATTGAAGAATATATTAAAAATTTCAAACATCAAGTTTCAGTAGATCGACCCTCTCTCATTATCTGAACCCCATTAAAGTAATTCCGTTATTCCATGAATGTCCCACGAGCCAAAAAAAAATTAGCAAACCCTGAACAATTCTGTTATTTTCTCCAACGTAGTCAAATTTTGTTATTATTAATTTTTTTCGTATGATAAAAAGTCATTTCACTCATCCGGCATTTATCCATGATAAGATTATCGCTGCGTATATTCAATTTCATCAACAACAAACATCTCTTCACGTTGAGTGTATGTATAAAGTTTTAATTCTGATTTATTGTAGCTTAATAATGCTAGTTGGAAGTCATTCTCATTGTTTTACGTTTATTGCGAATAATTAATTAACTTTGAAAAAGAGAAAACCAGACGAAGAATTGCGAATAAACTATAAACAGGAGGCGAAACTAGGAAGAAGAACATTATACAATTCATAAAATGCTTAATTCCAGTTTGTGATTAATTATTATAGTTCAGCTATTACACAAATTATTTTCAGAATTGAAAAAGAAATCAAAGGCCACCGAATAAAGAGAATTGGAATCAATGAAAAATTACAGTAACAGTCGATATACAGACATCAAGAAAGCAATTAAGGAAATCATAAAATATAATTGAAGATAGGTTTATGGATAATTGAAAGATTAAAGCGCACTTTTGATGTGCCGAGTAAAAATTGAGTTTTCAATTGAAATGTTTTGATGCAAATTTGTTTATGAGGAATTTTTAAGGCACTTTTTAATAACAAAGTCTCTAAAATGTATTAAATTTAAGACAATAAGATTTTTGCCAAATCAAGATCATTCAACAAAAGACATTAAAGGTTTGTCATCAAGTTTTAATTTGCTAATTTGAACTTTCTGAGAACGTAAATTTAATGAGATTCATTTTACGCCTTTAAGAAATCGCATCCTTTAATTATAGACTTTTGCTTTGACAGAGGAACTTAGTATAATCGGATTTTGTACTTATTTCCTTACATTTTTGAGTCTTATTTGAATCTTATTATGTTCTATGAATGAAAATTTTTGAATGTTAAATTTTTTAAAGCTTAAAGTCTTTTTCTTTTAGAAGCTTTGGGGATTTTTTCTAATATGGGAGTTGTATGGTTTTTACGAAGGAAATTGTATAGTTTGGAGCATATTTGACTTTAAATTGTTTTGAGCAAAAATTAATTGAATTGCATAATTTGTCATTAGTACGATTCCCAACGATTAGCTTGCTCAACATGGAATCAAAAAGTTTTAATTGCTCAAAATTAGCAAACCTTAACATATTTGAACTTCTCAAGACAATTACAAAGCAGTTGTAGCAAATTTCTCATAATTCACAACACTTTTGATTGATAGCTTCTGTGTTGTTCGACTAGTTTTCTCCGAAATGTCACAGTTCAACTTATAACAAGCGAATCGCATTGAGCATTAACAAGTTGATTGAACTTGACACTTTGACGCCTTTATTTAAATGATTAAACAAATAGCTTTTTGTACTGCACCCCACCCAGATTTGCATTAATAATTTAAGTCACTTCCAGTAAAGTGATAGAATTAAATTGTTCCGTATAAAAAATCTCTACAGCATGCTACACAAATCACATTTTATGTATTCGCAATAACGACTTTCTTTTCATCGCAAAAAATAATATGAAATAAAAAGGTTATGAAATCATCAATAAATAAACTGGAATCCAGTCATCATAAGTGAATATGTACAAGTCAATAAATGTAGCATGCTAAAAATAATTAATAGGATTAAAAGATAAACAGGTATAATTGTTAAACATTGACAGGTGTAAAGCAGCAATTGAGGCACAAATAAAATCACCTGCGTTCGGTGATGATGGATTACTGATTAAGCTATCAGAAGAATTTAATTTCGGTAGCACCAAAAGCGAAATACGACGATTGTTTGTATCATGTGCTTTAAAAAGAAGTTGAATAGAATAGAAATATAGATGAAATATGATATATAAAATAAATTTAAAAATAGAATTATAAGGGTCAGCAATATAGAGCCATCATATAATTTTTAAATGTACATTTAGATGCATTAATTAAATTAGGAATCGACTCAAAGAGTCATTTTTCAGTTTTTCTCGTTTTTCTTTAAAATTAACACTTTTCAACTATTTAATTTAACTTACCAGCTAATTTATTGGTGCTTGCTGACTGTATTGGTGTATTAGCAGATGATATCGATACTGTGTCATTATTATTAGCGTTATTATTGGCATTTTTAGTGGGTGTCGATGTAGCAACATTCATTTTTATATTTTTTAACACCGATTTTTTAACTTTAAGATTTCTATACGAATATCAAAGAAAACTTTCTTAACTTCAATTTCACACAATACAGCTAATATTAAATAATAACATTTAAATAGTTAAATTAAGATATTTATGCTTTTTCACTGCATTTTCTTAATTTTTCTATGCGAAGAACTTTTTTTCACATTATTTTAAACTTTTGAAAATTTCAAAAAACCGTTGATTTTTACATGGATTTTTTTTGATATCATGATCGACTTTGGATTGTTCAATTGCGAAATGTAAATATTTGCTTTTACTCATTATACAGATAGATAAAATAAACATTAATAATATAGACATTATTCGACAAGAAAAACCTTCACGATTTGAGTATTTTCAAGGTTTAAATATACTTTTAAAGTATCCAAATTCATCATTCATAATATTCACAAATTTGAAATAAATAACGTTTAAAATATTTTTGAAAATTTCACCCAATTCGGTTCTGTTTATTGTTTTTCTATGAAAAAGTGAGAGAATTAATACCTAATCATGAATGTCGCGGATGTGGACCAAGGAGTCATAATTAAATCCAAGAGACCATCAGGTAAGTTAATTAACATCCCACAGCATCAGAATAAATTATAATTAACATGATTTTTGCCCATTTAGACTCGAATTTTAAGCAACAAAGGTAAGTGACAAAAAAGAAATTAATTTTTCATTATGTCCAATATTGATTTTCATATATTCTCGCACAGATTACCTTCATGGCAACCAATACTTACTGCTGGAACTGTTTTACCAACATTCTTCATAATTGGAATCGCATTCATACCTGTTGGAATTGTTTTGCTATATTTCTCAAATAGTGTGAGTCATACAGTTTATTTATGGAAGTTTCATTGACAAATATCAACAAATATAATTCATTCATGTATTACTTTCTCACAGGTTCAAGAACATGTTATCAACTATACGCACTGTAATAGGACTCAGGGTGACATGACTTGTGCGAGATTTCTTCAGGAAAATCCAAACACCTCTGAACGTTGTGTCTGTGAAATTGGATTCAACCTAAATGTTGACTTTAAGAGAAATGTCTTTATGTATTATGGATTAACAAACTACTATCAGAATCATCGACGATACGTCAAGTCTCGTGATGACAATCAGCTTTTAGGTGAATTTGGTGGCGAACCAACTGATTGCGCACCATTTGACAGAGATATAAATGGCAATACTATCGTTCCCTGTGGTGCAATTGCTAATTCACTGTTTAATGATACTCTATCACTCAAATCAGATTCATTTGGTCCAGTCTTGCATAATAATACTGGAATTGCATGGCCAAGTGACAAACAAATAAAGTTCAGAAATCCACCAAATTGGAGGGATGGTAAGCTTTTGACTAATTGTTGTGTCTAGATTACGCATTAGGGCGTTGCTATACATAACTCGGTAGTCATTGTCTTTATTAATTAAAGGATTGGAAAGAAGGTTAGATGTGACTTAGATATTCAATAAATTTTTAAAGTCTCGTGAACTTGATTTCTTATCCACAATTATAAAACTACAAGTCATCATAATTAAATTTTAATTGATAGCACTTAAAAACAAAGGACGACCAATTGCATGGAGAAAGAATTTATGGGAACTAGATCCATTGAATGAGAATAATAATGGGCTACAAAATGAAGACTTGATTGTTTGGATGCGTACTGCTGCTTTGCCAAGCTTCAGAAAGTTATATCGTCGAGTGTTTCATGAAGGAAGTTATTCTAATGGACTTCCAAGGGGACGATATGTGCTAAATGTTGAGTACAGTAAGTTGCTAAGATTTATTAATTATCCATTCCAACAAACACCGCAAATTTTATGCCGTTTTGCTAATTATCGATTTTATTTGCACTTTATGGTTGATCTCATTTCATTTTCAAGTCATAGTCATAATCATAAAATTAATAACTTTTTATATCTGCCTCATTCCCTATTCAGACTACCCCGTAACCCAGTTTGATGGCACGAAATTATTCATTCTTTCAAACACTTCGTTTTTGGGTGGAAAGAACTCTTTCTTAGGATATGCTTACATTGCAGTCGGTAGCATTTGTGTCATACTAGGCATTGTGCTGCTTATTGTTCATCTTAAGTATCGAAGGTAAAGTTATCAATTATTTAAAGCATAGAATACGTTTTAATAAACAAGTTAAGAAAAACGTGGTAAAAAGAAAAATCAATTTCATTTTCTATTATAGTCATGCACATTCTTCAACAACATCAAATACAAACCCTAGAACTCCATATACCTAAACTATTATTCAGGAATGAAGTGGAAATAATAAAATAGAACAAGTCATTATTTACTACCACTGCAAAGTAACAACAACACATTAAAAATGTTATGTCATAGTAGACAAATGGTTCCTATACTTCTCCTTTTTTATTTCTTACTTATTTATCAACACATCATTCAGAATGAAATTCAATGCCAAAAAAGTTTTGCAGCATAAAAAAGAAAATGTCTTTTTTCGTGACTTAAATTTTTAAAATTAAGGTCATGATATTTTAAAATAGTTGAAAAATAATATAATAGATTAGTTCCAGATAGTTTTCGATTCATTTATGTAATTAAAAGTTGCTAAACTTTTAATTCTAATCTAAGTAAATTAGTAGCTAGAAATGAAAATTTGGCTTATCTATAGAGCTTATGGCTACAAAAGCACGCTTGTTTTATGTAAACGTCAATAAACTTTTCAGAAAAACTAGAAATGAGTCGCCCAAAGGCTGATTTAGGAATGTTTATGTGACGATTCATTTGATTGTATTACTTTGTCTTGCAAGCAGTTTAAATGTGTCAAGTTACATAATTTGATAAGCATGAGTAATTGCGATAAAAAATGATTGAAAGATTTGATAAAAAAAATCATTCAATTAGGGTAAAAAATCTATTTCTTGCGGTATTCTTGTTCTCACCAACTTTAAACGCTCATAACTTTTTACTGATACACTCTTTTTCAATGAAATATAAAGCAAAATAACAAGGACGATGAGTTTTAAAAATGCAGATAAAACTTTATTGATTTATTTTTAAAGTTTCTTCAAAAAACTTATTTTTCTGTCCATTTTATTTTTTAGATACGCATAAAAGCATTAATTTGAAAGAAAAAAATATCAATACATTTTAACGTATTTTTCAACATGGATTTTTACATCAAATAAATCGCGGTTTTAAAGAAATATAACTAAGTTTATGAGGATTTTGTTACTAAATTATAAAAAGCATAGTTTAATTTATTTTAAAGTTTTAAACCCGCTTTTAAGTATAAAGTCGCAAAAGAAATGATGGATAATAAGCTCTAAAAAAGGCATCAAAAATTAACTGTTTCACCTGCAATTTTAAATCATATAAATTTAATTAAATAAAGCCTGTAGGGACTTAACATTCAAAGGACGTGAATTATTTGGCATTATTAAGATGTTTGTATAAAAATTTGGTTGATTAATGTAGCTTAAAGTTGATTTTTTATCTGAAGCTAATACCGCAAAAAATAGATTTTTTACCCTATTTTAAAATTATTAAAAAGAGCAATTTATGTAAGGACTATATTGTCACTATTAGGATTTGAATCCATTTCATCAGGTAAACCTTTTTTTCTCATTTTAATAGAGTCATTTAAACAAATCTAAACCTTAGATCGCAGTTGCTACAAATGCATAATATTTGTGATTTTTTTAACATCAAAATAGAGTGTATTAAAGTTTCTACAAACTTTGTATAGCAAACTCAACGATTTGTTTTAACTAAAGAATTATTATCTTCAACTTCCTGTATCATGTGCTCTGCAGATTATAGCTTTGATCTTAGAATGCATATCAATTATTTTTTAAAAAGGATAATGTTGCAGAAAATGCTACGCTTTCTATATTGATAAAAGAGAAGATAAAGATATTGCATATAAATCTAACCATAAGTTTACTTTAAATTGAATTGGATTTGCAAAAATTGAAATTTAAAATATAAATTTTAAAACATTGTTTTGCAAACGTTTTAAAGTCCGAATTTCTATCAAACAAAAATGTTTTTATAAGCAACGTGATTTATATTTTTGACGTCTATAATAATTTATTAAGAGACTAATTTTGTTATCAATTTTCGTTAAATCAAACTATAAAGTTTATTATCAATTTATAAAAAAAAATTAAATGATTTTGTCATCACTTAAATTTAGTATTAACAACTTTATATCAGATTTTGAAAAGTAAATGTATTAAATAGCATAATTATAAAGCTTAGCAAATACAAAGTAATTTATCAGATTTATTCATCTATAAAAGTGTTATATTCTTTAAAGAAGACAACAAGTATGTTGGATGTATTATTAGATGTTAATGACTAAGTGTCCTTGAAAAAAAAATTAATTATATAGAAAATGAAGATTATCAAGATTTAATGCATAAGATGATAAAAATGACAAAGAATTAAAATGAAAATAAAGTAATAAAAAACATATTCAATAAAACTAAGGAGCAAAAACAGCAAAAGTACCATATGTTAAATCTTATGTGAGCTTCAAAATAAATACATATTCTCATCCTTTCGCACCTCTACTACACGTTATTTTCACCCAATGACGATAAAAAAGTTGGTGATTCATTCAAAGCAATTTAACGACGAGAAATATTGGATATGGGGAAAGCTGTATGTTTCATTCAGAAAACGAACGAGTAAACTTTCATGACTTCCGTGCTATATGGATAAGAAAATAATCAAGAAGTTTTATCGTTGAACGCACGAGGGAAAGGCAACATGATGGGGACGATTAAAATGGTTGAGAACTGAGTTTTTGGTTGAAACTTTCAGAACTTAAGAAAACCTTAAGATTTAATAAGCAATTAAACAAATCTTGAAGTTTTCATAATTTATTACCTCCCGAATACCCCAGTTTCAGATGAACTACAAACTTAACCCAAGGAATCAGAATAAATTCTACGCTAAGGATTATCAAGCGCCAAAATGTCAAACAACAAGAAGAAAACAAAGCTACACGGAAGTTTTCAACTTTCAATCATTGAATGTGCTTTCTTCTTGTCATCGATGCCGCTGGTACGCAGAAGCGAAACTTATGCTGCTCATCCATCGTTTTTGCCCTTTATACGAACTCGAAAATATAAAATAAAAAAAAAAAAAAGTTTTATGGAAAAAGCTTTTCAGTTTTTCTTTTTCAAATCATTCCCATAAAAGTGTCTCTCGATTTCATATCGTGTGGATTTTGATTTTTCTAAGAATTTCCTGTGAAAAATTTCAACTTTATGTTTTGCGGTAGAAAAACGAAAGCATTTTAAATTCATTAGAAGTGAAAGTTATTTGATTTATCGGAAAATTGAAGTTAATGATCGTAAATTTTCGCAATAAATTGTCGATTTTTTTTATACTACGTTGTTAAAAAGTGCTTGACATTTTCATGGATTTTCGCTGGCCATTGAAATCCTTTTCATCGTAAAGAGTTTTTGTGTGTTTCAAATTGAATTTAGTAAGTGTTGAAAAGTCAGTAATAACCGCAAAATTTTCATCATCCTTATTAAGTCAACATGAAGAAGTGTCAGAAGGAGAAGAAATCACTAGCACGTAACAAAAAGATTGATTAATTAGGCAAGAAACAACATCGAAAATACGGCAAAAAGAAGAATTGTGTTCGAGGAAAAATCGATAAGTATTTTCCGGCAAGGACTCATTTAAAAAAATACGATGTTAAATTGGAAAGAATGAGAATTTTTTTTCGTGCATTTATAAATTTGTATTTTTTTTTGTTCTCCTCCATACCGAAGGTAATGAATCAAAATAATATTATTAAGGTCATTAATTAATTTTGATTAATTATATAAATTTATTTTCTCATTTCAAACTTAATAAAGCTTCCTAAATGGATGAGGAAAGTTTTGTGACTCATTTATCCAATCCATTCATTTTCACACGAATAGCTTACTATAGTGCTGCTTATGTAGGCATAAAAGTTATATAGATCTTTTTTTCTTGACCTAAAAATTGTAAAATATTGGTTTTCTTGGTTTTTCATGCATTCTCTAACCGATTTGTTTCTTCAACTTTGTTCTATTTTTTCTATTTTTGTTATTCTTTTGGGTTTATGTGGCTTTTGGGGTAAATTCATTTGAAAATCTATTGGGAAATGTGAGAATCTAGTTTTGTTGGTTTGTAGAATTAGAATTAATGGTCAACTTTATTAAAAGATAATTAAATTATTTGACAACTTAATTAGTAAAGCTGTCTTGAGCTCTTAAGCATTCACTTTTTTGTTCATCTTATATCTTGTGATGTAGCTACAGCAAGAATCCATTAGCTGTTAATTTTGATAAACCTGAGCTTCTCTAAAGTACGGATTATGGCTAATAAGTTTGTAGACTTGATCCAAGCTATACTTCTGTAGGCGTTACTGTTTGTAGTATTCAGGACGCTATAAATAATTTAAACTTTGCAGCTCTAGATTCAGACCTTTTACTGCCAGCTATAGTGACTAAGTTTCAAAATATTCTACAACTGCCGTTCTGTATGTCACAATTCTGTATGTTCGAAATTTACTCATAAATTTCATTTCTTGATAGCATGAGAGGCACACTCCGATAGTCCTATTGTCTCCTTCTCAGAAGAAGAAAAACAAGATCATTCGTTTAGAAACACACGTGTGCATGTGTCGATTTAATTCAATAGAATGAAAAAAGTATATAAAAGTACCTTAATGCCGCAAAGTGTGTACTTGAAATGGGAAAATGAATTGAGTCGTAATTTTCAGATTATTTCGTAGGAAAAAGAGTTGCAGATCAGGTGTGTTGATTTAATTGTTAATCCATGCTTCGTTAGGGCAGTAAGGATATGGAGTTAATGATGATTCTCAAAATACATTAGATTTTCAGAACAAGAAGTATTAAACGAAGAAAAAAAAAGCTTTAAAGCAAAATAATTTATAAATTGATAATGTCAATCTACCTTAATCACACCCATTTCAAAGTCTGTCCTTGTATTCTGTGTAATGATGCCTATGCCCACTTAGAAATCAAGACCATTTTTAAAAGCAAGACATTTTTGATGTCTCAAGGATGTTCCTCTTTCATGAGAATTTAAATCACATATCAATAAAGTATGCATTCAATTTCCCATCATAATCATAAAAGAAAAAAATTAGTTTTTTTTCTATTTTTTTTTATACAAAAATTTCATATTAACCTTAAAACTTTTCCATTGGCATTGTAAAATAATAAAAGTAGTAATTTCTGAGGATTCTGATTCTACCATAAAATTTAATCTCCAAACTTTCGACAAGATAATGCGACATGTCGAATAGAAAAAAATAGTGAAAAACTTTATCCTTCATAAATGTCCCAGAAAACCCATTAAAATCCTTGATGAAGAAGCATTAAAGTTACAACCGCATAGACCAGAAAACTAATCAAACTTTAAAGAGATTTTCATTGAAAATTCATCCTTAAGATTCTGTAAAGTTTGAGGAATTGAGTCCTT